GTAAATCAAAGTTGTAAAAATTGCACAGTAATTTAGCCGTCGATTCATTCTAATGAGTAACCAAAATGTTCATGGATGTATGCGTTTCTAAAAAAAATAAAAAGTGGTTTCTATCCATTGGGAACAGTTATTTTAATCAGTTAAGTAGTAACAACTAAAAATGCAGTTTCTTAATGAAACAGCCACCCAAGTACAACAAGTGTAACGGAAAAGACGCGTTGAAAATCTCCCCCCAAGCCATTTTATCAGAAAGCATTATCATTTATTTGTTTCTGTCCTTTGTATTGTATTACAACGTTTTTCAAGTCTCTTGTTAATCACGATTTATGTTCTTCAGTCTTCTTTGTCTGAGCTTTTATTATTTGGCATTGGTTAAAGATTTACCTTTTATAACTTAACTTCGATGTTAGATGTAACTAGACTGTTTACAATAAGGTGATGGCTGGCTAAACTCAAGGCTACAGCTTAGTTCAGTGTGTGACTGTTTGTTTGAGAAGGTTACGAGAATCCTCGGAAACAGATATCGGATCTCAACTTTTTAGTGTAGGGCCATTGAAATGTCACTAAGTCATAGCCTAATCATCCGGCAGTTGGGTCATTGGATATCGAAAATGGTCGGGGATGACCATGGACTGGCCCATGAGGTAATGATCTTACTTCCTCTTGTATCCACTGTGACTAATATATTTCTGTAATACCGTCCTTTGTGTTTTAAAGACTTCAAAGCATTTATAGTACCTTGACAACGTCTGTGGGGCAATTCACGTAAGGTGCTGACCGCGCAGTGTTAATTCGACGTTGGATGGTTCTTCACACCATTCCTGTCTGATTCTAGTAGGCCAGCAATCATTCGGCATAGATCATCTACTCTGGTGGTCTACATTAGGAACGTTTCATCGGTTCTCAGGTATAAATATATTCCTTTGGATGTTTAGCACGTTAGTTTGTGCTAAAGATATTGTAAACTTTGGATATAATGTGTTTTCTTTTCTAAACTAGAACCATTTTAAATTAAACACAGTGTTTGTGTTTTGATTTAATACGAGTCAGGTAAAAACGTTTTGTATAGTATGCAGAAGAACGGAGTTTGGCCCAATTAAATCAACTTTGGTTCGTTATTCCTGCATTTAGACCAAATACTGGGATTTTGATCGCTACAACAAGTATGTAAAATAAACCAAGGTGGTCAGAATTGATTAGTGGCAAGAAAATGATCACAAAACCTAAAACGTAGGAAGATTTATGACTTTAATCTCACGCGAATAAAAATATTCTATTTGTTAGCATATGAAGGTACCAAAAAATGCTGACTTTTCATTTGGGTTAAGACGACGAATTACTTTCTCATAAAATGCAAAACGTAGGGACTTTCAGGCGCACTTACACAAAATTATACAAAAGACATTCTTCATCACGCGTCAAATGTTTTGCGGAATGTTCACTGTGTAATTTTAGTCGATTTAGAAGTTCATAAAATCTTATTGGAGATCAACTACTTATATTTACTATCATACAAGATTATGTTTAGTGTAAAAAGTAAAAAGGTAGATGGTTAAAGTGTTCTCATGGAATTCGACTCAAGTCCTTCCAATTCTCGATGCACTTCTGCTGCTCAGGTTGGTTACGTAATGATTGCACATTGACAAGGAAGGGTCAGAGCACTAAAACTGTCAACTTAAACACGAGAAGAAGCGTACATAATAAAGACAACAATGATAACTAGTCGCAGAAAACCCCATCAGACCAAATTAATTTGATAACCACAGACCAATTAAAAAGCTCACTTGCACATGGATCGAAGGCTGATGTTGTTGTCTGCAACTAAGCCATATAGCTCAAAGGACTAAGTAATATCGAAACTACGAAACTTCACAGACAGTTTGAGGAGCTATGAGTACTTTTAACATACAAAGAAGGGCGACGGAATTGCACAGAGTATTATGAAGTAGAACAATACATTTTTCCCAGTATGAAACGTTTTGTACAACACACGAAAATAGTAGCAGTCACTTTGACACCATTCTGTATGACAAGCCAATTAGATTTAGAAATAGGCGTGTAAATGTACCTGCGCTCAAATGGAATTAGGTGAGGGATGTGTTCCTCAGCTGGTTAGATAATGTGTGGGGACAAACACAAAAAAGCATTTAATGCCAACAATGGTCTATGAACTACATACAATAAGTTCATAGCCCTACATTGTTAGGAAATACCTTAGAAATCTGTTAGTTATGAAAATATTCTGCACATGTATTTCTGTCAACGTGGTTATTATCCATATTTGTGCTTTCGTTTGTCAATTTGCCGGTGCTCACTTTAAATTTCGCGATAATACAAATGAACATAAACCAAAGAAAATTCACAATTCCTATCCATTTGAGCATATCAAAAGGATTGATTATGGACTATGAATTCTTTATGATAACGTGAATCACCATACAAAGAAATAAATGTGGATGATCCTCAAGGGATGAATATGATTAAAAATGAATAAGAATGCTTCCGAGCCAAACTTTATCAGAAGCATTTACTGTGACACCAACAAAAAGTGGAACGAACTAGGGGCAGTAGACGATTAAACATTAAGAGTGGGAAGTAAGTACTTAGGGAGAAGTAAAAAAGATCCTAAAAACGCATGTCCTCATCCAAAATAGCGCCATTTAGATAACTCTAGATTGAGCGACCAACAGGAAAGATTATTAACAGTTAGTGAACCGAACGTTCAATCCATCACGGATAGATCATTCAGTTAAACCACACAGAATCAATCAAAAATACGGTCACACGATACGGCAGTTGAAAACGTCGGCTAAAACGAAAGTGGCGCGTTAATCGAATACTTTAACGTCATTCACAAATTGATCACACTTCATAGGTTGTGGGCGATGTATTAATATAATGAAAACAAAGCAATAGCTATTCGGAGAAACACATCAGAGGACATTTCACATATCATCACATGAACAAGCAAATGTATTCTATGATTGATGAATAGCCTGAATGAAAAATACCTGGCTAACTTAACCTTTTGTCAGTTTGATATTCATAGTTGCATTCCCACACACAGGATGGATGCTATATGGGGTTACAACACCTATAGTACGAGACCTCGACAACGAAACTAACATTTTAGTAACTGATAATTTCCACTCTGTTCAAATGGAAGGATGAAATAAAATAGCTATCGGGTGTAGTCGAACGAATGACGCTGCACGAAGTTTCATCTGGAAATACTTATCAGGTCTAGGTTCGAGAAGAACCAAGATCTGCAACCCTATAATTAAATCAGACATGGAACTGCAGTTTGATGTCATGGCGAGTTTATTAAAGCTCCTAGGAACAGGGGTGATCCATAAGCCTACTAGTGAATCGAATGAAAAATGTCACAGTACCACTTAGCACGACCGATATGCTTTAACTTTAGCACAAATGAAAAAATATTGTTATTAAGTGAGCTCATATATGTATCTAACACTAAATGCGTTGCTTGGTTGGGCAGTGGTATGTACAACCATTATGAGCACTCTTAGCTCAGCATTCTCTACTGTTATCACTGCTCAGTTTATTCATGAATAGACCACTAACCGTAAGCATTCCAATATTCATAACAGTTATAGGTAGTAAGAGCAAGCACATATGCTGTAAACGACTTGCGTGAAATTTGTCCGTTACATTTCGTATCGCTGCCCCTCAGGAACTTAAAAAACTAATGTAACTCCAGCTTTCATACAATTCTAAGTTTCGGAATGTGTTGATAGGTTCGAAGAGATTTAAAAGCACTTTCGGTAGGATTGTATATCAGTTTGTTTTTTACACTTAAGGAGTGATGGTAGATTTACATTCCAAACAACGAAAATAATTCCCGAACACCTGAGCAACCACGAACTTCCATTGAAGACATCTTGAGTCATCTGCTTCATCCAAGGAAATAAATAATTCTTAGAGGTTCATTAAAAACTCTCGCGTCCTCTGGTCGTGACTAATGAAGGATAATGAAGTTGAAAATACTATTTATTCAGCCGTCCGTTAATTATATAACTCTTACAAAGAATACTTCTAAGCAATGAATTTACAAAACAAATATTGTAAACAACAAAGATGACCCATACCGTCACAAAACCTCATGGAAATTTTTCAGAATACTTAGTTAATTTCATCTTTCATGAGCCTTTGATCAAATAAATGCTTTTTAGAAGTGCAATGAAGTAAGTTGGATTGTAAGTCTTCCATATAGTAATAGTCTGTCAGTTGAACTAAGTGTTTCTGATGCATACTTCAAAAATTGGTACAGTCGTCGCTGGCTCATATCGGTAACTACTTCCTGTCTCTCTTGATTTCGTTTCCGTTTCTCCTCTTATTCTTTTAATTTTATCTTTTCACACTGTCTGCAATACCAATAAATCATCTTATTTACTTGTTCTTGAGACGACCATCTCTTAGGACTCAAATTATCATTTTATTATCCCCACATTGAAACCAACCAAACTCCTACCAGATAATATGCTAGCTGCTGGTATCCAGAAACTTTACTACTCTGAGACAAACACAATTAATCAACTACAAGGTATACAAGTCCGCAAGTAACTTCCAAACTGATTGGAATTGACGCAGTCGAGTGGTTAGACTACCAATAATTGAGCATTACCAAATACTCGGTGCTGTACCGAAACAACAAGAAGCGAGTGCAAAACAATTAAGCAATTTCTACAGGCACTTAACAAAGTCTCGACACATTGGAATTTTAGGTATCCTCTGTCGTCTTAAGTATATCGATTCAAGAAGAACCTTGTTTTACTCCAGAGGACTTAAGAAAAGATCTTGTATTAATTTGTTAGCACTTTTTTCATTCATCTTTACGGAGGAAAGCTCTATTTTTAGAGTATTCATTTGAACAAGTGTCTTTTTTCTTTCCCATCTATAAAAATTGGTATATACATAGTCGAAGGGATATTGGATACAGAACGGATATACTGGATACTGAGGTTGTTCTCAAGGTTACATAGGGGCGGCCTTGGGTGTTACATTGTTACCATCGTTACTTTAGCTAGAACATCAGTATCGGATACTATGTCTTCTGAGTAGGAATGTGTGTGTGGGTCTGGTCGTAGTTTGTAATAGAATGACTCAGTCAATTTTCATACAAGGTAACTATTGATAATCACCCAAATCCGATTTTGTTTTGCAGTAGGTCAGTGTGGCAATCAAATCGGTCACCGATTCTGGGACTTAGCTCTTGCAGAACACGGAATTGCCAATAAAGTAAGGCGTTAGTGTGCGCTTACAGAAATGAATTCAGGGATGCCTTCATGATAGTTCATTTTCTTCATTTTTTGTAAACGGACCGAACAAAAAAAGTGGTATCCTGCCTAAAATTCCTGGCCTCAAAGCTAGAGTAACTAAAATTCTGAATTACAGTCTCGAAGGCTTTGCTCGTAGATATGGAAGAAGGCGTTGTCAATGAAATATTAAAGGGACCATTAAAAAATATTTACGATTCCAGTTACCTGATCACTGACGTTTCAGGTTCCGGAAACAACTGGTATTTCACTTAGCTACTAAGTATCTTAACTTTGAATTTAGGGCAGTGGGAAACTTGTATTACGGCCGAGTGCACCAAGATGCGTTGTGTGAAGCTTTAAGGAAGTCTGCAGAACTTTGCGATTTTCTCCAGTGCTTTTTTGTCCTCCATTCAATGGGTGGAGGTAATTAAGTGGTTCATTTGACTTATTTATGAAGGTACTGGTTCTGGAGTCGGTACTCATATCTTGAAGATTTTAGCTGATGAATATCCTGATGTATACAAGTAGGTCTAAAATTTTTCACATAAATCAGAATGGACATTGCTGTGTTTCCTTCAACGGACGATGACGTTGTCACTTCTCCGTATAATACAGTTTTGGCTCTTGATCAGACCACTGAATTCGCTGACTGTGTGCTGCCTATTGATAATATTGCTCTCGCAAATATAATCGATAAAGCCAAAAATTTTCATTGTAACTCTAAAGGAAATGTGAATGAGCGTACGGGTTCAGCAATTTATTCAAAACACACAAAACCAGCAAAACCTTTCGATGATATGAACAACATTGTGGCTAATATGCTATTAAATCTCACAAGGTATGGTTCCGTTTTGTTATGACTGGCATTTCTTGGCATTTTAAAACGTTTTGGACATGTCTTTCTTCAAAGTCATTTGTAGTTGTGATAATGCGCACTTTATGTTTTTTTGCGTTCACACTTGCTAAGAGAAATAGCAGTATTGAATTCTTTTCCGTTTCACATTTTGGCGTCGTCAAGCGTTTCTTTAGTCATCATACGTCTTGATCTTTGAAGCTACTGTGTTTAATAAAATATTTTATTGACGAGCTTGTGTAAACTGATTGTTTTTGTACGTTTAGATCTTGGTTCTCAGGAACGATTCTAGGTCTCTGATTGCACTTGATAAGCTACTCGACTACGGTTTTCCTATTGACAATCATATGAGTCTAGTTTCTTCACTCCTTTGTTTTATCAACAGGTTTCATATTGGGTGGAGTATGAATACTAAAAGGAAGAGATTAAGTCCTCAATAATTAGACACTGGAAGGAAATTCGGATATCAGTAAATATTGATATATAAAGTATTGAAAAATGGACAAAACGCCGTAAGGTGTAACTTAAAAAGATAGCGAACTGCTGAGTGTAGCTCCATCTTGTCATGTATTGTCTAATCTAGTAGGGAACATCCTGTAGGTTTTTAAATGATTGCCTGACGATAACTTAAAACTTTTACTAATAATATCAATGCTCTCAAGCTGAATCTCCACGTGCGTTTGTGATGCGTTAGGAATAATTCGGAGGGTAGCATACTGAGCTGCTTACGGACTAAATGAAGTGTAGCATAGGATTTGGCTACGTTTTTCGAGTAGTCAGATACGTGCATGACCTCATTAGTAGCACATCTACATCACTGTTTGTTAAGTTTCTAAGCAGGCGATGGCCAAAAAATACAAAAGTTATCTATTGCGTTGTATGGTCACGGATCCACATGATGTAGCTTTTGTATGCAGTGAATTTAGGACCATTTTCTTATTTCAGTGAAGTGAGATCTTTTTGAATTTGCATATGTTCACACTTGGTGATTCTTGACCGTTTGAGATCGCCATCATAAAGATGAAAACGTAGTATTCTGTTCAGTTCATCCTGTATCAGTACAATTAAATTTTGTGGTAAGCCGAATTCCTCATTACGGAATAAATGTACTTTCCGATGAAGTTCAATCAAAAATTAGATTTTGTTTACCTTCATTGAAGATCTGTCTTATGGCATATTGACCTCCAAACCCATTCATATATTCATTGTAACTAGACAAGATTTTATAATTTGGTTTGTCTAAAATATTTCATTTTAGTTCTGCCTGTCACATTAGGTTTACTTTTCATGATAACAAATAGAATACAGTTTTCATGGGTAGTTTTCAACAGTGCAAAGAGCGAGAAATATGACTAAAGTATTATCTTGATACTTGATGAATAGGATTGTTTTGATGAACCGAGTTGTCGAGTATATGTGTCTACTATTCGGTGATAGCCTTAGTCCTAATAGATTGCTCCTTAAATTAGTAATTTTGAGGAAACCTGTCATATCAAAGTGTCATATGTCCTAGTTCTGTTAATAAAAACATAAGTCAAAAATATACATTAGTGGACTATTGTGATAAATTTTTGAAAACCTTTTCCTGAGGTATCTTGACATTTTTCGTTGACGTTCAATTTATTTAGCTCCTCTCGATTTGAAGGTACTATGAATGTTGATTTAAATGAAATCAGTATGAACTTAGTTCCATTTCCTCGCTTGCACTACCTGATTGCTTCACAAAGCCCTTTATCAACCATCTCTGGCATATCAGCTCCTAGAAAGTAAGAATTAACACCTATTTCTAATATATGTATGATTTTATACATATTATCATGCCACTCATTTTGTAATGGAATTCTCCAGTAACTAAATCCTAATGTAGATCACCGAACTTTTGAATCATTTATTATTTATTTAAATACATAAACATTGGTAGAAGGAGGCACCAAACAGATATGCACCACATAAATCATTCGATTTATGTAAAGGCTGGGATACTACCCGGGTGCCCAAACCGAATCAGGTTTATTATTATTATCATCATTATCGAACAGCACAGGTCAATAAGCTACGAACACACCAAGCGAATTTGAGCAGAAGTGCTGCTCTGAGCGAGCTAGAGAACATAGAGGCGAATTCAGAGTCAAGTCAATTAATAAGATCCAAGGATATATATATCAGTGAATGATTCGTAACTAAACGAAGGAGATGAATATGTGTAGGCTGTGATATGTGACCAAGCATGCATGTTCATACAGACATGATAATAACAATGACGATACAAAGATAGACAAATTGTTACTGTTCGAATAACACTGTTAAATGTTAAATCAGTCAGTTGAAGGACTTGGCAAAATTAACCGCAAATAAACTCAATTGTAAGGGAGGTGCTATAAAATAATGTTCCTCCTTTCTAAAGATAGAATTGACAACGCGTTCTTATTTAAATCCGTGGCTGATAGAGCCTGTCAAACAGTTGTACAGGTCCTTACCGACATGGGGAATGCAGATATAAAGGTGATCAACTCTGCGGTCTCAGCTGAAAAGTGGAAAATTAACTTGGGTGCATCAAAAAAAAGAGAGACATTGACTCATTTCCAGGATCTTGACAAAATTAACTGCAAATAAACTTAATTGTAGGAGAGATGCCATAGATTAAAGCATACTTAAGGTTTTCTGTTTTCATATCCCAAATCTGAAGCTAAACGATTGTGAATCGTGCAAAAGATTATCACTTTAAATGGGTAAAAAATACGACAGCACAAGAATTAACCAAAGGATATCGGGTCAGAAGGCCCCCTTGTACCAATATTTATGTGTTCAAATAAATAAATAAGGTTAGAGGGCAGAACTTACGAGATGAACAGATGTTGCAAGATTAAAGAGAGCTGATTCTATTTGTCAACTGTGACTAACATTAAAATATGTCTCGAATCAAAGTTCAGAACTTCCCTGGGAGACTTCATGATACTCTCATTTGGAACCTGCTTTTTTGATCATACCAGTAATGCAATGGTGGGTGTTTTCAAACGATACATGAATAACTTGTAAAACTGGCAAAAACTATGCGAAGCCGTTATTCAGCCTAGGGCTTAATAAAAGTAAGCTTCAATATTATCCAATCAAGTATTAAAATCGTATGTTAAAAAACTATAGGATATGGAAAATACTCTAGTTCATTTGACGCACTGACGTGCATTAGTCAACATCTTCATGTGATTTAATCGAAATCCCGGAAAGTCAATCAGAATTCTAACGTAGAAAGTTCAATCGATTGTGGTCAAAGTGACGAAACTTTAAGAATGTTTAAGCCTAATCATATAGTTGATAGTGGTCAGTTATTGATGTGGTTTCGAAAAGTTAATCTCATACAAAATGATATGTTCAAGGAACCATGCTTTCAGTTCTTCATTTAAAATCATTCATATGTTTGAATTTGCGTTTTTCGTTTATGAAATAACTCATAAAATCATCAATTTCTTCGTAGTTTGATCTAAACTAAATATCTAATACATTTTCTGTAACGTTTAGCCTTCACTACTATTCGTAATTGTACAATGGTTTGTACATGTAGTTAGTTTACACATCACTTGCTTTAAATATATTTAGTATTACCTTGAGTTTTCAGTTTATAATTTGTTACTACCAGGTAACTTTCTAAGTCATAAGTATGGTAGTTCATTCTAAAAGTAAGTCTCATAATTTAACATACAATAATGCCTAGAGTAGGGGAAAAACGCTAGTGGTGACCAAATCAAGATTTAGCATCAGTCCACGAAGTCAATAAATGATTTGAAATATTCGGTGATTTAGTTGAGAATGAGTTAGGGGCTCAAATATACTTACTCTTTATTTATCTTCAGATTTTAGGTACCATGTTCCTTCGTGTAGTATTTTGAACAAACTCAAATTTGTGTCAAACTCTACATTGATTATGGTTAACTAGCAGACCACTTAATTGAAAACGTGAACCAGTTAATGATTTTAGTGAAATTCAACAACCTTAATAGATTATTGTCAGGACTGGATGCTACTCTTTCTTTGACCGAATCAAAACGAGTTATTTTATGTTTCTATTGGTTATTTATATTTCGTTAGTGACGCTTTAGTACAAAGTTTATAATAAATTCATTCATTGTTTATTCCCTTCTAAATTTAGTTTCACCAGTTTAAAATTCTTATTTATGGGTAGGGTTTGTATTTTTTTGTGATTTTGGTTTGTTTTATAGGCTCGACCAAATATTTTCAGATACATTCACCAGAGATTATCAGTTAATGTCTACTGATCCTTGTAGACATGTTTACCTAGCAGCTGCTCTACTTGTTCGTGGTGCAATCAGTGCATCAGATCTCCGTCGAAATATTGACAAGCAAGTTGTTACAAAAATACTATGTTAAACTTTATATGAGGAATTTACATTGTGTCGGTTAAATCTTTTAGAATGGCGACGTTTTAAACTTATTTAAAAGAATATAATACTGTATCTCTCAAAAGCGTTTTTCTGCGATTGATACTGTTAGTTGTTTATTTGCCAATGATTTCCCTACGGTCTTTACCAACTTACCTGGTTCCGTTAGTAATTTGCTGGAATTTGTGGGAGTTGATCGACAACTCCGTATAAATTCACAATTGAAATAATACTCTTGTTCTGAAAATGTCCGTTAATTTCAGTGATTCTACACAAATTTACTACTTAAGATTTTAAAATCCCTTAATAACAAGTTTTGAGCCTTATGACAATGACCATTAAATGCCTACTGGATTGACCGTAGGGATACGATTATGTTACACAGCCTACAGAATAATGCTTTTGTAGCAGTTCGTGTTTAACCTGAAAGCACGTCTGCGGGGATGTGCAGACTAGCGTGTGTGAAGAAACCTGTAGAAAAGAATGATATGCAAAAATGTAAGCTGAAGACTCAGTAACCACATAGGATACACTTATATGAAATAATGAAAGCAATCACTGACAATTAACAATAACATATGTGCAAATTTAAGACATTTCGACCATGGAAACTAGAAGTGCTAGGGTGAGAATTCGAATCTTTAATAGCTATTAGAAATCAACTTTGGAGCATCTAGTTCGTGTGGTGATAAACTAATCAACTTCTCTCTTTTTACTTTTGTTGTTTTGGCAGACTTCGATCTCGTTTAAATTTTGTTCCATGGAACCGAGAAGGTTGGAAAGTTGGACATTGTTTAGTTCCACCAGTGGATCATAAATACTGTCTATTAGCTCTAGCTAACAACACTTCTATTCATGAATCATTCAGTTTTATTTTGGAACGATTTTATAAACTGTATAGGAAAAAGGTATGCCATGATTGGTTTTTTATTTTAATTAAATGTCTATTTCTGTTCAAAATCATGATGTGAATTACATTTATTACTAACGTAAATTACTTTATTGGGATAGTTCCTTCAAAAACACCAAATGGTTTTATCACAAAGATCACTAAAAAGCAAGTAACGATGGTTATGCCGTCAACAAGGAGTTTTAGTAGGAGGTTGGAATCGGCAACAAATACTTTACTATAGCATTGGATATTATTAGTCGTTTTAAACAGTAAAGTGAATGAATTTTTAAGTCAATGTTTCGATGGTGAATTTCCCTGTAACACCCTAATGTTGGTGTAGCAGCGTACTAGGGTCATGATGGATGGTAGCCCCTAAAGAATTGAAAGAGATGTTGAGCTCTTTTAAATGTTCAGCTAATGACTGGTTATTATGTGAGAGAGTTGCCTCCAAATTTCATCTATTTCATCTTAGCACAGATAACCTGTAGGAATTGTCGAGTGATAAGACCGAGAATTAGCTTTTATATTATTTTTTTGAACAAAACAACAATACGTGTAAAGCTTGAGTACGGTTTTGAACATCAAATTGCACTAGCAAATGCTTATGTGCTCTTATAACAAAACAATCCATATATAACTTATCTATTACAATTATTCTGCTTATGGATAACTAGGTCGATCGTAAACTGTTTCCTATTTGTGGACTCATATAAAACCAGCCGTTATTGTGCTCCTATTCCTTGAGATTTAATTATCGTCATTGAGTTTACTACCTTGGATATGAGTTTAACATAAACTAATCGTTTGATTTATCCGACCTTTGGCATATTGTTTTGGTGACTTTGATAAGTCATTGTGACAAAACTCTGGATATATTTTATCATACAATAATTAAACTTGCCATTTGTTGCGTTGTGTGAGAATGGTAGCAACAACGATGTATCCGACCTAGTTTACTAAAGTAATGCTCTGTAAAGTCAACACAATTTGTTATGTTATCGTACTGACTGCAAGTAACTTATCAAATCGACTTCTCTACAACAAAACCTTAAATAACTCGCCACTTAAGAGCTAGACCGCTTTAAGCGCCGGTATAAAAATTTGTTCTGAGGTGCTTGTCAACAATATCATTTATTAAACACCGTTCCATGCAATTTTTTTATATGCCTCCAACAACTATATTTGAAAATAACTGATGTAGTGACGTTATTTTTAGGATCATACTCATTATTGGCCGTGCCTAATACCTAGATGCAGTGTTAGAACTTGGAGGTCCTGATGACACGAGCTGTGTTATCTTGAACACTTGTTCTTTTAGGTCCTATCATTTCAGGCAGGTTGGCTGAAGAACGGTAAGACTAAAGATCGAAACCCAATGTCTGAGGGCGAAGTCGTGTTGTTAGTCCTAATGTACAGAAGTGTGACGGCAGTTTGGTGTTCTCCCTAAACAATTGGGATTGATAGAGACGCTGCCTTTTCTAAACGGAAAGTGGGATAAATTGATTCGCCTCACCTTGACCCACAGATTTCTGCTGACAGCGGCAAGGTCTAGAAAATACAGTGCTAAGGCTATTCACAAAAGAGACTATGTGTGACTGACATATAGTAGTCGTCTCTTATGAGTTAATATCATGCTCCTACTTCAAGACCACTGGTTTTTTTGAATCCTATCAAAAGAACATCTCCCCGTGGTATGGGCAGCTAGGAAGTGGCAATCACCATAATTTATCTAACAGTATTCGATATTACCTTGACTACATATTAACTATTTACACGGTCCTAACAACTAAGATTTAAGTACTGTTTAGTTTTTTGTTTCCCATTGAAAATGAAGGTACTAAAATATTGGATCTTCAAGGTCATTTGAAATATATCCTTGTCCTGTAAAGTAATATTAAATGAAGGTGGGAAGTACATTATTCCGGTGCAGTAGATATGAACAGATTCTTATACTACTGTTTTCCTACTATAACTGTTTGCTGGAAAAGCCCTGTTGTCCCATAAATTAGCCATTCACTAATATCTATTTGGTTTCCCGCTTTATTGTCATTTGTCTGATGTAACAAGAGATAACTAGAGATCAAGAACCCTCCTCCATTTTCATCACACCCATCAAATTGAACTACTGTATATCATCAAGACACTGTTAAGACTTTATGGACACTTTTATCTCAATAGAGATACTGTTCCAAGGATTAACAGCTTGCTTGTAAATTATTTTACGATAAGTGAGTACAAGCTTATGTGCTTGGCTTTGGGCTACATATTTTTAGTGTGAGGGCTAGTAACACTATCTGGCCTTTTAAAGTCGAAATAGGCGAAGGGAGGACGAAAACTAATATAAAATAATAATAACAATAATAATAATATAAAATTGTCAAACCATTAGACTATCACACCAATAAACGCTACTTGATGTCAGCAACCGTTTTAATTATCAATATGGGGTTGTGGAGATTGCTGAGTTTTTGATTGAGATCTTGAATTGATCGATGTTAGACCACCATTGAAAACATGGAGGCACTGGACGGCCGTTTCGTCGTAGTATGGTACTCGTCAGCAGGGCGCATCCACGATCCTGCATGCGGGATTCGAACCCAGGTGGAGACAGGTATCTACCTCTGACAATGGAAAGTGGTCTCGCGACACCGTCGATTGGTTAAAGTAAGATACCAACACTGCCGACTCAGTGGCCTGGCGGTTAAGCGTTCGCGCACAAGATCCTGGGTTCGAATTCCATGCGCGTAGACGCGCACCGCCGATGAGCTCCATACTAGGACGAAACGGTCGTTCAGCTTTTCCAGGTTTTCAAAGGTATTCTGACATCGATCGATTCATAATCTCAATAAAAAACTTATTAATGCTATGAAATTCTCTAAATTTATTTATTTTGTACGGCTTAAAACTTAATGAAGTTAAAAAAGGACATGTCAATTTCATTGCAGGCACATTTACATCATTATACAACTGTCGACGGTTTTGATACTAGCATGTTTGAATCAAGCATTAATTCACTTCAGGAATTAATAATTCAATATACGGATTTTGAAAAACAGTTTAATGCACAAGCACTACCAAATTTACCACAGTTAGAGATTATGGATTGAATTTATTCTCAATTGTAAATACATTTTTTAGATCCATTTCTTGCAGAAAGTACTTTATTGCATTTATTAGTTTTTATATTATTCTTGTATACTTAAAGCTTGTATAATTTGTGATGATTATTCTTGTAAATGTGACCTCCATGTTTTGAACATCTTCGTTACGTCTTAAGACGATAATATAATTTCATCTTAGTACAAAAAAACTATTAGGTTTAAATGTACTTCAGTTATGGTTTTCACGTCATAACAAGTGTTTTATAGAGTATACTGTGATATGCTGCTTGTAGCAAACAATAAAGTTATTGACTTCTTGTATTAGTTCCAATCGTAGAGATGACTACAGACAGAAGCTTACATTTCACACTATTTCATCTATCAAAAAATATTTTATATATAGCGTAACTCCGCCTATTAGCTCTTCTAGAGGTACTACCGGTCCCAAGCCCGGGCAAAGGAGCAGGGTTGGGCATGGGGTCGGCAACCCCATTCCGTACAATACAACCTTACTAAAAAACTGTGACAGGCCGGGAAGAACAGTCAAATAGCAACAGAACTGAGGAGATACAACTTGGCCGTACTCGGAATCAGTACTCGAAACCCATTGGACCCAAGTTGGACAGTAAAGACTAGATACCAGGGAGATGCTGCTGTACTCTGTTCATTATTAAGAAGATGCTCCACACACCCAGGGAGTTGCTCTGCTGTCCAAAGAAGCACGTAAAGCACTTGTGGGATGGAAATCTCATGGGCCCAGGATCACTAAAGCGTCTTTTAAAACAATAGAGGGAATTACAATGAACGTTGTCCAGTGTTATTTACCCACGACGACGACAAAAACCAGTTCTATGAGAGGCTGCAATCGATCATGGCGAAGTGCTCAGGAAGGCACCTGGCCATCCTGATAAAAGATCTATATTCCCACACAAACGCATAAACAAAGCTACATGGATGTCATCGGACCAAACCACGTAGAACCAGATGCAACATGTTTGGATCAGTAAAAAACCCAGAAAGACAATGTAAGACGTCAGAACCAGGAGAGAAGCTGGCATAGCCTCAAATCACCACTAAGTTGTGGCCAAGATGAAACTGAAGCTAAAGAAGCAATCGACAACTGGACAAACAGGATTACAAAAATTCAATTCAACCTTCCTACGAGCCACTAACAAACTTGACGAATTCAAGATAACTCTCAACATCAGGTTCTAAGCTTTACATACTCTACGGAAAGAAGAAACTACTATGGAGGACATCTGCAAAGGGATAAAAGAAGCATTAACTCAAATGTGTCAGGGGGTACTGGATCGCAAGGAGCATCATCATAAGGAATGAATCTCTATCGAAACCCTGGACAAGTATCAAGAAAGAAAGAACAAGAAGACAATAATTAACAACAGTCGAACAAGATCAGCGTAAGTGAAGCCAATGCTGAATATACCTAAGCAAACAAGCAAGTGAACAGGAGCATTAGAGTCGACAAGCAGAAATATGTGGAAAACCTAGCAACGACAGCGAATAGGCTTCAAGAGAAGGAGATCGTCAACATCATTTGGAATTCATACAACGGACTACACTTCAGAGTTGTGCATGGAAGACAGCTGACTGATGCACTCTAGGTAAGGATCAGAGTCAGATAAGGCTGCTTACTCTCCCCCTATCTCTTTCTTCTGGTGGTCGACTGGATTGTGAAGACCTCGACATCTGAGAGGAAACACAGAATATAATGGACAGCTCGGAGTTAATTAGATTTTGAACTTTAACAGATGATCTGACCCTTCTATCCCATACACACGAACAAGTGCAGATGAAGACAACTAGTGTGTAGTAAACAAAACACGAGCGGGGACAATCAGGTGTATTTGACACTAAATCACAGAGCATCTCACTAAAATCTGAAAACCACATAGTAAATAGTTCATTTGCAAAATATCAAACTTGACTGTTCCTGTTGCAAACATCCATCCATTGTCTCAGATTTCATTGTTCATGAGTTTTCATACGAACTGCGTTTCATTCCCGTTCTTTCCTCATCGACCTTCTAGTTAAATACATTCTATGCCTGACCACCGTTATATACTACTTGTGTGGATATAAGTAACCCACACCACAAGTGTAGCAACAGTCTCCGCATCAGACAAGGGGAGAAACAAGATCCTCAAATAAAATATGGAAAACATAAATCCAACTTCCTTGATTATGAGAAAGCATTGTGCAGTGCGGATAGGAGCACTTTATGAAAACTTCTTCGACACTATGATTTACCTGAGAAAATCGTTCTCCATGAGGAGTAACGGGCGTAAATAAATTCATGTAGCACACGACAATTTCATACAGTTCCATGTAGACTTTCAATACGATAGCATAGTTAGCTTACTTGAATGAACAACTGACCCTTTCCTATTAATTGAAATCCATCCCATATTGTGAGAGATTACGGATATCCATCATCGTTAAGATAATCAAATGGACTTTGAAATAATAGCATTCGAATAAAGCTTCATTTTGTGGATAAAAACACAGTACTGGACGGCCGTTTCGTCCTAGTATGGGACTCCTCAGCAGTGCGCATCCACGATCCCGCACCCGCGGGATTCGAACCCAGGAGCAACTGACCCATGATTTCAGTCTGTGAAAATTTCTAAAATCTCCACAAACCCCTTCTGATAAAAACACAGTAAACGAAAATACCTCAATTAAGAAAAGTACGCATTTCTAAAATAACTATGTGTAGGTAAATATAAACAGAAAAAAGCATCTATGAGGTATAAATTATATTTAAGGCAACATGCGGTGGGTTTTAATTGATGAATTCGGTAAAAATACTAACAAATAAAAGTTTTCATAAGATAAATCAACATGCATCAAAACCAGTAAATAATTCTTTTAAAGTACAAATTGGAAATGCGTATGTCTGACTTGTTCATTGTTATTTTAACGACCATTTCTTCTCATTAGTTCGGAATTTTCTGCACAAGTCCATGCTCTTTTAAACGTTCTAAAGCTTTTTTAGCACATTCTCTTGTGCTCTCACGATCTTTTTGTTCTATTTCCCGAATACGTTCATCACTGCACCCGGGATACAAAGGTTTAATATCCGGTAGCACTTGATCCGCCGGATCGATATCTGGCAATAGACTCAATGATAATAGAACTTCAAACATGTTTGATTTGCAAAAGTATTCACCAAGAGATCGTTCACCATGTAAAATAAAGTTTTGCAAGATATGAGCGGCTCGATGTTGTAACGCGCATGAAAAGTGCCCAGCTAGTGTTTGAATAATCTCAAACCATGAGGAGACCTAGTTATTTAAAGAAATACAATGGACCGAAATAGTTTACAAGAATTTTGTTAAAATTATTACACCTAGTGCTTTGTATTGTTTTCGATGTTGAGATTGTTTGGACGCATTAATATTTGTCGACAACTTACTTGGATTTATATATGATGAAATTATGGACTATCAATAAAGTGGTGAAATAATTTATAGTCAAATTTTCAAGTTATTCATGATTTCTGAGTCTGAATGCGGTCGATCCAAGACTGTTAGATGTTTCTGTTATGTAGGTAACTTATTAATCGCATTTACCTTTCTTGATCACTTGTGGTTAAAGCATTTGGCTTTTCGCCACTACATGGCACATTCGAAACCCGCTTCACCTACTTTAGTTTACGCAACTGGGTAGTATCATTAGCCCTCATATTTAGGGCATGATTCGCACCTGGTACATAAGTATATTATATACACATTATATATAGAGATGTTTGAACCAACTTCAAATAAAATTATTTGAGAAAATTTGGGCATTGGGTAAATGGTGATCGTTATTATTAGAAATTTTTACTCTTCAATAAGTGAAAAAAATTTGAAAATTTTTTTAGTAACTTTTCGCTATTTTAGGATAATAACGTTAGCAAAGTAATGGCATATAACAGATTTTCAATAATGATGTATGTATGTTTAATAAAGTCTGAGGGAACCTACTGAAATCGCTTCACCTGGAAGACGATCATGATAATATGAAATTATATCTACTCTCCTTCTTATATTACTATTTTTACAGTAAGTAGTTATGTAGGAGATGGAAGGTAAGTCGTAATGAAATTCAGGACGAGCGTTTCATCCTAATTCGAACTCATCAGCTGAATGTACCTGCTACACCCCTGAGTTTCTGTTCATCTCGGGACTGAAACCAAGTACTGTTTGCTTCAAACGCCGTCGCTTTGTTCACTTAGCTACTGAGTCCAGTTAGCGATCCATTTATACAATGAGTACAAGTTTTCATTTAATTTAAAATGGTTTAGATTATCCCGTTGATGATATTTGTCACTGAAATTCGATTGACTGACGAGTGCCAAATAAAATTAAACGCGTGTCTTGGATTCCACTGCTAGTCACATTCTATCTATTTTAAGATAACTTATCGCAATGGTCACATCGAGACAATCCGCAAACAATACACATATCCCAATCAAGACTGATCGAATTCTAGTCGGAAATATCAACAATGAGATAATCCAATCCATTTCAAATTAAAGTAGTTGTGCTTGTAAGTCTATAGAAACTATATTTGTTGCAATGGAATAATATAATTGATACAAAATTTATCCACAAATAAAACATGGTTAGTTCGCAATTTGTTTTCGCGAATTGGAAACTTTTTCGTTTTGTCAAACTCACATTAGTAATTTTTCGTATAATCCCTGGATCATATGACATACTGGCCAAAGCTCCAGAAGCTGCACGTACAAGAAGTAAATCATCTAATTCTCCACAATATAAAACTAGCAATTTTACACGTTCTGTAGGACATGTAAGATATGATAATTTCTTAGCTAAATCTGTATCATCCAAAGGAATAGTACCACCGGAAGATATAACAAAACCATGAGATTGAGCTAAATTAGCTACACATTCTGTTGCAGCTCTCCTGATCATTGGATGATCTTCAAAAAGACAGTGATCAATTAACGGTAATCCATGTTCTGCCATGATACGATAACTGAGAAATAAACAAGAAACGATAGGAAATCGTTGAAAAAGTGAATATCAATTGACTATACAAAATATTTCCGTTGAAAATGTGTTTCACATTGTGGAAATTAATTATAAAGGCAATTCGGCCCTTTACTTTTGTATTTCAATAACCCTGAAAACAAACTGAATAGTAGCAAACAGTATATTCTGTTTCCATATTATACAAAAACAAAGATTTATTTACCGACAT